CAATATAGGATTTTTAAGACTGATACTGATATTTATGTGATTAAGAAATCTGGAGTATTGGCTGATATTTTCTCAGATATCCGAAACAAAATAGATATTCATAGCATTTCTTATATATAGTAACTTACGAGTTATTTCTAAGATTATATGACAATACCGTTTAAAAATATTCTTCCGTTATTGTGCTATCAAGTCGCTCATTTACCTTCTGGCCAATTCTGCTCGGATCAGCTGTTTATTGTTGTGTTGCAGAGTGCCCCCTGGTGGACAAACTGTGCAAACAGCTATAAGGTAGCTGCAGGGTTTTTTTTTCCTGTTGCTTCTTCACTCTTTAAATTTGTATTTACTGGCCGTTACAAATGCTGATACTGATATATCAGCAAATAGCTGCGGAGCCAATATATTGGTCGGGTTATAATTTCTGGCCAAACTAGTGCATTTTAAAGTAGCCAATCACACCGGAAAGCTGTAAGCAGCTGTGCCTGGATGTGCCTTCAGAGGTGCTGTCCTCCTCATCTGACATCATCTTAATATTGATGTCCCTCTGCAGCTAGTGCACTTTGCCTCATTCCAAGCAGCTGTAAATGCAATCAACACAGACAGTCAGTACTGCGCAATGCACTGTTGACAGGAGACTTTTAGCAGTGTGATAGAAAAATGTAACATAAACCAGTAATGCTAAAACAAATCCAGGGAATCCAGTCTAATAAATTGTACCTTCTTCGCTTTACTGTCACTCTGACTGACACTGACTGTGGTGTTCTCTCCTGATTGCAAAGTCAGGATTCCCTTTAATACTGAAACAGGTGAAAATACTGAAAACATGTATAAGGGTGACAGACCAGGGATAGCAAACTCGTTTTACATTGTGGACCACATACAGCCCACTTTAATCTTAAGCGAGCCAAACCAGTGAAACTCTTCTTTTTGTTACTGTACAGAAGTTTAACTACACTTTTAACCCTAATGAGAAAGAAGTCATTTTTCTAAACGACATAGAAATGCTAATGTAGTAAATGAAAGAAAGCACGACTGGGAATTGATAAGAATTTAACTGATTCCACTTTCAATATCAGTTATCGATTCTCATTGACCCTGCCTGACAGTCACCACCATCGCCATCAGTAAGGACACAAATATGATCTTTCTCTTAGATATGAACACAAAGCAAAGATCAAAACCAGCATGAAGAAGCTTTAAAGCGATCACAAACAGGAGGCTGCAGACTGACTGCTCATCAGTCTGTCATCAGACATTACCTGTTGAAGTTCAGAGTCTGGCTGCTAGGCTGGGGTCAGGATTCATTCAGCTAACATCACTCTGGGTTCTTGGCTAGCTTAGCATTAGCATGCTATCTGTGCAGGTGCCTGCAAAGAGCTGAAGTTGTGTTAACAGCATAATGCAATTGTTTCTGTCCTGGATGCAGTATGCACTTTACTATGGCGCTGTCATAATAAAGTGCAAAAAACCCCCAAAACGACTATACTATATTTATTTACTACTTAAATATTTATTTATGCACATGGATTTAATTATTGGGGCCAAAGCGCTCACTGTGTGACAATCCTTGTACGCGTGTGTGCACCTCTTGACCTTTGTCATCTTTTTTGCCCCCATTTTAATGACATCACACCCAGAAATGTGACTCCTTTGGTTTTTTTGTTTATAGTATTTTTTTTTATTTACGTTACATTCATTCTGATAGAAACAGAAAGGTACAAAAAACAGAAAAACAGAGATTCAGTAAGACTAAGGTGAAGGTGACTTTTATTAAGATGCACATTTTAGAAAAAAGAAATTTCAGAAGTCTTGGCTTCAGAAATATTTTACTGGGAATGAAATGATGATTGATGGTGTCACATTTTAAATCTAACCACAGTTGTAAAGCTAGCTGTTGCCTTCAAGGACCCAGTCTTTATGCTAAGCTAAGCTAATCAGCTGTAACATGTTTAACATAATTGTGAATTATAAAGTATCCCTCACTTGCGTTTGTTTTTTCCACACCACAGATTCAGAAAAACCTCCAGAAACTCCTGGAGGAGACTTAAAAGAAGACTGTGGTCTGTTGTAGTGTCCACAGAGAAGAGCGAGTGCTGTGTAGAAGAGATCGTGCTTGAGCTGTGCAGATCAGCCGTGATCAGATTTGGTCATAACTTTCTTGCCAAAGCATGGACAGCTCATACACAAAGTCTTTAGACTGTGTGAAGTGAAATTGTGCAATAATGACTTCTTTCCCTTTTGCACTCAGGACTATTTGATCACTTTTGTTTAACAGAAAGCTGTGCTGAAGCAGTGTGCTAGTTTGCTAGTGGTAGTGTTAGCGAAGTGACTATGTTTTATTTATTTAGTAGCTTTCATGTTACATTTCACAGTAGTAAGATTGTTAATAAGTTGTCAGGTCCAAAGGTTCTATTTCATGTCAAGGTCAATGTTTTTGTCAGCATTAAAATGTCAGTAAGTTATATTTTTATCATGCTTATGACTCACTCATCAAAAGATTGTAAAACACTCAACTTGTTCTTATGGTGTGATGTCAACAGATATGTATAAATATACACTTTGCTTTGTGAAATCACACAACAGTAAGAGCAAATCAGAGTTTAAAATATATTTTTTATTGTAAGTGTGGAATTTTTAATTTTCATACGAACCAACTGCTGTTTCATTCAGATGCAATTGTATAGTTTCTCAAACCTAGCAGCGTGTACTGCATTTACCCTGTTCCCATTCTGTTTTCACTTTGTTTGTGTGTATGAAAAACAAAAAAAAATTGTGTTTAACTTTAGTTGTGACCCTTCAGATCACAGCTTGTGCCTTTGTGATTGTATCACAGCTCTAAAATAAACGGTTTTTCATGAAGTGTTTCTTGAAACTGGCGTTAACAGCTTTTTTACTTAGGAGCACCAGGTTACATAAGGCTGATCACTCAGCCAGGTGACGCGCCTGCAGACCACAGACAAATGAATGCAAACAGCACCGATGTAACCCAAGAACATGATGACTGGCCTGCTCACAGCAGTGAAAGAAGAACTCTCTTTACTACAGTGTACAATAACACTTTACCACAAATAAAAGACTAATGTGTGCGCTTTTTAAAATTCTGCAGTGGGAGTTTGTTTTTGTTGTAATTTTTCCCCTACAGTGTTTTTACTGGGTGACAGGTAAAGGTAGACCAGTTTGGCATGGAGTAATACATGGAGAAAGTGATTTGGAACTGGCTTCTTGACATAAGCCACACCTTACCTGAAAAAGATGTCATCTGGATGGCAACGTGTTACTCCAAAATTCCCATCTTAAACAAGCTCGGCCTCAGAAAACATATTGATCTTGTTTTTTTAATCTTTACATTGAATGTTATCTTGCATTTGTGAACTGCTGTTCAGTCACACTTCAGTACAGTTCAGTAATGGTGCTCAGCATTGTCCTTGTGTAGTTTTCTCTGATTTCAATTCAGAACATTATGCACCATAATCGTTGATAATACCACATTATTTGTAATTTTATGTTGAGAAATAAGTGATGGACATTTAAAACTGAAACATAGTTCAAACTGTTCCGATGATGAGAATGCTGCTGTGACTTATAAAGTGTCCCCTTATTTTTATTTGTTCTCTAAATAGTGTCACCAACATTAGCTACCCCAAATCACCAGAGATTATCAGTTCATTTTAACATTCCAGGTGACAGCAAGTCAGAATTATGTTACCTGTCCAGCAGCAGCCTGCATTAAGCTTTAATATTGCTATAAACTGAAATGGATCAGTGTACGCCTTTTATTCACTGTTATGTTTAAGTTTTGGGTGACGGCACAAAGACTGAGAGAGGAGGATAGAGAGGGAGAGAGTAGGATGAACACAGCAAAGAGAGAGCAAAAAGAAACAGGTAAGAGTGGACATGTGGTCAAATTCACCAAAAATTATATATATAGGCCTATTGTATGCCTCTTTAAAATGTGTGACATTTAAGGGATCTTTATTGTGTGATTGAAATTAAAATTGTCCTTAAGGTAAGTTTACTCAGTTACAACAATAAAGTACAAATTCAGTTCCATTCAGTTTTATTTATATAGCACCGAATCCCAACAACAGTGACCTCATGACATGGTATATTATAAGGTAAAGACCCTACAACATTAGAGATAAAACCCCAAGAATCAGATGACCCTCTGTGAGCACTTGGCAACAGTGGGAAGGGAAAACTCCCATTTCAAAGGAAGAAACCTCGGGCTCAGAGGTGGCTACCATCTGTCGTGACTGGTTGGGTGTGAGGGCTCTCTGGATGAGAGCCAGAGTTATATTAATAACTAATGATTAAATGCAAAGTGGTGTATAAATACATGGAGGGTGTAGTTGCAGTTAAGTAAAATGTGAAAAAGTCATCATGTAAATGAACAAAACATTACTTTAAAAAGAGTATTTACAGTGCAGTATTCAGTTACAAAATGGGTGACTTTCAGTATTTGTACTTCATTCCCTACTTTGCATTGTACTTTGTAGAAAGAAAGAAAAAACCTTGAGCAGCTCAACATGCTAATCACACTAATACATGTACTTAGTCATTCAACTACTGTACTGTACTGTACTACATATTGGGCCCAATATGAGGCCATGAAAAGCGCAGCCGACACCAGTGAATAGTTTTTAAAGTACATTTAATGATATATCAGTACAGATGCTCAGAAATTTACAAATGATAGAAATACATATGTTGAAACAGACTGAAAAAAATTGGTTGTCAGGAAAAAAAACTGTCTTATAAAATTCGCGATTTTTTTGCTTCCGGATTTCACCTCCTATTTCAATTGAATTTTATTTATACAGCGTCAAATCACGACAACAGGCGCCTCAACGCGCTTTATATGATAAGGTAGACTACAATAATAAATAAAGAGAAAAAACACAACAGTCATATGAGCAAACACGCACACCAGCGCTGTTGTGGCGGTTGTGTCTAAACAGCGACACCTGCCGTTCAGGAGAATACTGCAGGGAGTACTCGCGCCCTCAGCTCTGGAATAAATGGTACCGACGTCACTGTTTGCGGCCAGTGTAAACGGGCCCATTACATTACAGTCTCCGGCAGCAGAGCAGCCCGCCTCCTCTGGATTGTGGACCAATGACTCGGACGCCTCTACATCTCGTCTGCCTCTCAACCCGCGTTCAGCCCCTCGCATGACGTAACGCCCAATCTGAAAGTGCAATGGCGATATTGGACAATAACAGCCATCGCGCTTGGGGTCCACATCTATATTATGTGGCTAAGGTTCAAGAAAACACCTCCAGCCGGCTGCAAAACCACATATAATATCGGCACAGAGCGCGAGCGTCAACCTGCGACCAGGAAAGGTGATCTCCCAGCCTCTGCACGCGATGACAGCTTAGAATAAATCGCTGGTGAGTCCAAACTCTGCTGATTGCAACAGCATTCGCCAAAGGGGAAAAAAGGCTTTTCCAGTAAATGGTCTCTTGCAGGCAGCAAGCCTGAGATTTCAAAGGGGCGTGGCGGTATGCTGGGTACTACTTCTGACTAACGGATGCTGATAGCTTAGCAACAGCGACGGGGAAGGAGAGCAGAGACAATGGATGTGCCATTTGTCAGCATCGTTACTGGGCAGGCTGAGCTGAGCGCGTGTTTGCTGGACTAGAGAGAGAGACACGATCCTCGCCACTTTGTTCCAAGTGAGCAGCAAGGAGCCGTGGATGCAGAGTGGAAATGTAAACAAAGGGTGTGGGCCTTCCAGCTGGCCTGTGATGCTCTGCCACACACATGAGCATCATGTAGTCATGTCAAGAAGAAGGCCAGCCAGCTCTGGATCACAGCTGCTCCAGAGCCCCAGAAACCCAGGGGTCCCAAACATTATACTGGGTCTCTGCAATAGTTTTCAAGCTGCCAGCTTTTATTTGCCGTGCTGGATTGCTTTTCTATTGTTGAGCAAGCTATTTTAAATTTCATTGCCATGGACTTCAAGACAGTCTAAAACGATTTTCACTATTTTTGACATTTTATAGATCAAACAGCAATGCTTCCTTCATTTTAAATAGCTTTAATAGCCGTGCAAACATCAGTAAGCCATAGTTAACACTGTATTAATTAGTTTATCTGAACTCAAAAGTACAACATTAAAGTTATATTTGTATTGTTTAATAGCACAGCCACTGAAATATGCTCATAATCATAAAACTCTTCAGATTTTTTGATTACAGTAATTCTTGTCCATGCGTCCACCAAACTTTTAGGTGAATGAGTTAAAATCCTAAGATTTTATATATATCTTATTGTGCTTGGAATAAAAATAAAACAATGTTTCCATCCGTCCACCTGTTCATTCCCCTATTTATCCATCCGCTGGATTGGTTGGGCTTAAGTCTACCTCAGCCATCATATAGCAAGAAGTAGGATACACCCTGGACAGGTTGCCCGTCTGTCACAGGGGGAACGCAGACAATCACTTACATTTACTGCTGATTTAGGATCACCGGTTAACCCTGTATTTGGACTGTGGCAGTACACCACTGACTGAACACACTGAACCCACACAGAGAGAGGACCTTATGAGGTGATGGTGCTAACCACTGTGCTGCCCTGAAAGACACTTTTATTACTTAAAAGTAACAACATCACCCACAGTATAAAGGTAACAAAGTAACATCCATGTAAATGCCATTATATTCCAATGAGAAAACTTCTATTAGTCACTTGGCCTGTCAGGTGGTTTTAAATTTGTGGCTAATCAAAAGGATAATGAATGTGAATATGAAGGCATGGGTTAAATACCAACCAGAAAATGCAATCCTGGACTTTTAATGGCCATATGAATATTGAAACTTGGTTTTTAAGATGTAGAGTATTGGTTCCCTTTTGGGTGTGATTAAAAAAAACAATGACAATCCAAATGGACTCTGAAAGTGAAACTGTTGCACCTCCCAGGCTTGACATTTCGCTTGTTTCCTAGGTGTGACGTGTGAACAGACACCATGGCCACACAGGAACCGTCCCCTCCTTCATCCATGGAGAGCAATAAGCCCGGCTTCCCCAAGAAGATCCTGGGCAACAAGCTGGAGGACAAACACCTGTGCAACTGCTGCCACAATATCCTCAGACGGCCTTTCCAAGCCCAGTGTGGACATCGCTTCTGTTCCTACTGCTTTAACAGGACTGTGAGGTGAGGAGTGGAATGGCCAAAGGCTAAAATAAGTGCTTTGGAAGTGATTGTAAATATTTAGATAAAAAAAAAAAAACTTTAATCATTTAATATATAGTAATGTTGCTCATTCTCCTTTGTTCAGTTTCAGGGAGCTGCTTTTAGAGCTTCTATCGGGCTAAGAGAAATGAAAAAGTTAATTACTACTTAAATGATTCTAATCCAGCACTATTTAATTCCAGCAGTAATTAGCGCTCAACTGGTAATAAATTAGTGCTTACACTGGATTAGTGTTATTAGTGTCCCACTGAAGTGGGAGACTGATGTGTCACTGATTCTTTGTGTGTTGCTTATTCTTTGTCAAAAGCTGTAAAACCACATTGTCAGCGGTTCAGTATTTTTTGAGTGGATCTCTTTGCTTTGACACCATTGATGCATCTCTGTAAAATATCTTCGATGACAGAGACTTGATCGTATTTGGATGAGGGCGTGGAGCTGAAAGTAATCAGCTGAAGCTAACGAGCTCGATTTGCAGTGTTCTTCCATAGACTGGATGGGTCGGCTGTAGGACAGAATCCTGCCTAACATGGCATAAAATGCTGGATTTTTACTCATGAGCCCAGTGGACAGAATGTTAGCATAAATAACCATGAACCGACTCTATTACTGTTCTGATAAAGTACATTAAAAAATGCACCAAAAGCACAAACATGATCGGGAGCTGCTAATATTATTAATATCTTTAAAGTGCATATAAATCAGCAGCTAAATCTTTAACTCATAATTTAAGTTGTCATTGCATATGTCAGTAGCATAAATTATTGGCTATGTTGTTGTTTAATTGCAGTAATGGACCTCAGAAATGCAATGCTTGCATCAAAGAGGATATTTTTGAGGACCCTACCTCGATTTTAAAACAAGGATGTGTGAGTACTCTTTTTTTCGATTACTTTTAAAAAAATGAAACGAATCACCTTGATTTGAATCGGTGAAAGATTAAAAGAAAAAGAGCAGAAAAGTTAAAATATGTCTGACGTGTTGCCCCGTTTACATCATGTGCAGCGTGATGATGCTGGTGATTATGAGTTTCAGCTAATGCTTAGATAATATAATCGTCACCAAATGAAATCATATGTAAACTTACAGTAAAGTAACTGCGTGCATGTGTTGAATGTGCAGCTTTTCTGACACTGATGAACACAGCAGCTGGACATGCGTTTCACAGATGCAGCTCAACAGCAGATCCCTTTTTATTTTCTCTCGTTTTTTTCAGGCTTTTCCAGACAATGCGGTTCGAAGGGAAGTTGAAAATCTGCCAGCTGTTTGTATCAATGAAAGCTGCACTTGGAAAGGAAGTATAAAGGAGTACGAGGTGAGGCGGCTTTTTTTCCTTCACTTGTTTTTCAGTAACCAGGTAGCCTAATGTTTTGTCTTTGTCACTTTGAAACGCTCGCTAGCCCCGCCTTGAATGGAGAGTACTGTGTGCATGAGACAAAGCAGCCTTGGCGCTCTTCTTGAGCAACCATAATCTGGATTGCAAACAGATGTTTAACAGAGTTTCTACGGCAGCCTGTGGGAGGTGGAAATGAGGCTGGTGCATTTATGAAACGGTGTAAAGGAGGCATTTGGATAACGTGGGAATGTGCAAACAGAGCAGATATTTCTACTGCTTTCAAGAAGTGGGAGGAAAAATCGATAAAGCATAGTATCACAAATTGTGACATTGCATCAATACAGGGACACCAAATTTCTGGTTTGTTTGGGTGTTGCAGGCAGGTTCCAGTAGACTACCTCGCAGCTGTGGATGAAGTTCAATGGGAATAATGGCCACGGTGCAAATAAAACTTGCACAGCTTGTTGTTTAGATTTGAAAAAGCACAATCAAGTTAAACAACTTAAATCCAGTCTCCTCCGTATCACATGTCCAGCAGCTGCCTTTAGACAAATGCATACATTATGTAAACATATTGCTGCCACACTTCCTGTCTTTATATCTACCAGTTTCTTTGTGGGAAATTGTGTTTGCATGTTTTTCTTTGGTCTCTGGGGGCCGTAACATCTGCAGCTGTTGTTCTCCTTCTTGTGGCTGAAGATGGTTCTTTATAGCTGTGGTTTTTACCTTTGGACTCATCGTCCTGTTACAGAATGCTAGTGTTGCGTGAAGGATAAGACTCTAAACATCTAACATTGTTAAAGCTACAGCGCTGTTCTGTACGTAGACAAATAAGCCTCCCAGCGCAGTACAGAGGTTACCATTCTGCCACAGCACCTCAGCATAAGCTCCCACTTTCCACAGATGAACCACGAGGGGAAGTGCGAGTTCATGATCATCCCCTGCCCCTCCTGCAAAGAACGAATCCGCTTCAATGAACAGGAGCGCCATAATGAGCGAGAGTGCCCTGAGAGGACGCTCAACTGCAAGTACTGCAAGGAGCCGTTCCACTTTAAGAATATCAAGGTTGGAAATGATTTATTTAGACCAAAGATGCTCGTCGGGGCCTGTGCGGCAGATCAGAGCAGCTATTTGTGTGGCATTAAAAGAAACGCTGCTGCCTTTTCGTTTTTTTCAGGCTCATGATGAGATCTGCCCCAAGTACCCGATGATCTGTGAAGGCTGTGCCAAGAAGAAAATACCCAGAGAAAAGGTAAATCTGAGACCAACGTGCAGAAAAGGTTGTAAAACTTTTATGGTGTAAAACTGACCATAGGCCATGTAGCTGCTGTACACTCTCTTTTTCACTAATCAAATGTGATGGCAGGGAGTATGCAACTGAGCTTCTGAAAATAATGAATGTACTTTGTCATGTTTACTTATATTTAATAAAAAAGAAACTGTAGATATTCAGACTAAAATGATCAAACAAATTTGAAGATGCAATATGTAAAATGTCACAAGATACAAAGTAACAAATATAAGAAGAAAAAGACACAACTGAGTCATCACTCGCTGTTAATACACCGCAGATGGAAAATCATTTATATCGATTGTGAGAAATTGACTATTTTATTTCTTTTGTTTCCCAGTATGTGGACCATATCAAATTCTGCAGCAAATTCAGAACTCCATGTCGATTTCATGTGGTGGGATGCGATATGTCTGTAAGTAGCCCGATTGTTTTCTCAATAACAAATTCAGTATTTGAGCACACAGTCAGCTACGAGACTATAGGAGAGAAAACATCATCTGAACCAAGATGAGGAGGAGTGAGGAGGTATCTTTTTTCCAGTGACTGTATATAAAAGATGAACAGAGCCACTGTGATGTCACAATTTGGTTTGTAGACTATTGTTTTGAAACTTTGAGCATTAAGGATGACCATCCTGCTTAGTTCTTTAAAAACACAAGTGCTAGTTAGCCAGTTTGGTTAGCAGTGTTATTCATTGTAATGTTTGGGATTGAAATTGTTATTGGAAAAACTATCGTGGCCTTGAGAGGTCACTGCAACTTAGGAAAACACCAGCAAATAGAAAACCGCCACAAAAACACACAAAACACAGTGGAAGTTTAAAAAAATGCTGCTAATACTCAACGGGACAAGCTAGTAAACGGCTAATAGTAGACAGTAGACTATTATATATTCTTAGTGAGAGATGTTTTGAATTAAAAAAATAAAAACAGGAGTTAACAATACATTGGTGGAAATGAATCATGTGAATGAATCAATCAAATGAGTTAAGACTATGTTAGATTTACCGTTCTCCTTTACTTCAGTAATTACTCTGTGCATTCATATATTGTTTCTGGTTTCTGTTGCACTTTTGCAGGTGGAGAAGGAAAAGATTCATGACCATGAGCGCGCATATGCCTATGAGCACCTCAATCTTCTGCTGCATTACATTATGGGCATGAAAGTTAGCATGGAGGGCCTACAGCCCCAGGGACTGGAAGTAGCCGGACACAAACTGGTGGAACTCCAACAATCCCTCAAGGAACTCGAGGCCAGAGTCTCCCAGCTCAGCACCACCTCCTCTGGGCCTCCCGTGCAGGGAGCCGCCGCCGCCGCCGCATCCTCATCATCTTCCAGCTCTGGACCTCCTGGTCCACCTGCTTCAGTTCCTCTACCTCCACCTCCCACTCTGCCTCCCACTCTCTCTGTGTCCACATCCTTCACGCCTCTGCCCAGCTCCGTGGGCGCAGCGCTGGAGCTCCAGCTTCACAGCGAGAAAACCAAGGTGGCCGAGCTCGGGCGCAGGTGCACGGAACTGGAAGTCAAAGCTGGCACGTTTGAAAATGTGGTGTGCGTCCTGAACAGAGAGGTGGAGAGGTTCGCCACCACCATGGAAGCCAGCAACCGTCAGCATAAACTGGACCAGGATAAGATCGAGGCTCTGAGCAACAAGGTAAGCTCGAGCCATGACTGCAGCATTCCTTGTTCTCTGAGTTTTAACTCAGTCAAATCTGAACACACAACAATGGACCGCTCATTTTTAGATTCACCATTACTTTTTCTTCCGTATCGATGTAATCCAGAATCCTGGAGAGATCTCAGGTTGTGGTTGAATCTGTTTATTTGCATACAAAAAAAGGTGTGAATGGCTGATTTAAGGATAGGCGAGTCTAAAAAATACTTTTAGCACACACAAAATACCTGCACAGATTTTACACTTCCGGTGTGTAAAGGCTGCTACTTTGAGAAAACTTGTTGCCTGCCAATTTATAAAATCCTAGAAAACTCAGGAAAAGGCTTGGAGATGCATCAAAGTGATACTTTGAACAAACTCAGTCTTTTCAAAATATTTGTAGTTTCTTCCTTAAAGGCAGAGTGATGTTGATCACCTTGAATTGATGCTAATATGAATTAATCATTTGTAATGTCTGAGCATGTTTGTGAAACCAACCAAAACTACTGCACTTTTAGTTGGTTATTCTCTCAGCCGCAGTTCAGTCACTGCTGGAAAATATCCAATTTAATGAATATGTGTTTGTTTTGCAGGTGCGACAGCTAGAGCGGACTGTGGGGCTGAAGGACCTGACGGTCGCAGAGATGGAGGGACGGCTGAGAGAAATGTCCGCCACCACCTTTGACGGCGTCTTTATCTGGAGGATTTCAGATTTTGCCAAAAAGAGACAAGATGCCATCGCAGGCCGAGCCCCTGCCATGTTCTCGCCCGGTAACACTGCGCATTATCACGGTGTTGATCCAAAATCATCAGCCTAGAATACCAGGAGCATGATCAGTGAACTGGTTTGAGAAGAGCAGCAATAGATGCCATTTGTCACAGCCGTGATTTTGTCCTGCAAAATTAAAATCGTTGAAAAAGTTATTACTAAATTGTTGAAACTGTTGTTGTCTTGTGCGAATAATTAGTTCTCTTTCTTGTTCTCTTCCAGCCTTCTATACCAGCAAGTACGGCTATAAGATGTGCCTACGGATCTATCTTAATGGAGATGGGACAGGGCGTGGCAGCCACTTGTCCTTGTTCTTTGTGGTGATGAGGGGGCTGAGTGATGCCCTGCTTAAATGGCCCTTCAACCAGAAGGTAAAAGATTAAGAAACAAGCAGGCATTCAAGTATCCCCTTCTGGTTGTTGACCAGTCTACTGTTTTTGTTGTTCTTATTTCTTTAAGGACCACAGTGAGGTTTGTTCTGCTGAAACTTGCCTATTTTATCCCAACAGTAATCTCTTACTTATTTGACTTCCAGGTTACGCTGATGCTGCTGGACCAGAGCAACAGAGAGCACATCATCGATGCCTTTCGACCTGATGTCACTTCCTCCTCCTTCCAGAGACCCGTGAGCGAGATGAACATCGCCAGCGGCTGTCCACTCTTCTGCCCGCTCTCTAAGCTCGATGGCAAGAACACTTACATTCGTGACGACACCATCTTCATCAAGGCGATTGTGGACCTCACCGGCCTCTAGACGACCTCCATTGGGTGTTACAGTTTGGCAACCAGGCAGCTCTTTGACCATTAAAGGCTTCATTTTGGCTCAGTCGCGGTCTCTTTCAGGGCGCCATTTGGGCACCTTGCTGTCCCCCGCAGCTTTGGGGAGACAGACATGCTTGCGACAGTCTGCTGCATGTAGCTGCTCAGACCACACGATGCAGGCATTCTTATACCTTGGTGGTCTCTGTGTGAGAACCCTCCCCTCCGTCATTGCTGTACATTTGGGTGCAAAACTTACTTTCTTGACATCACAGCATCACCATCCACGGTGATAAAGTGCCGTTTCAGTTCTGCAGGCGAGTTTTCAGTTAGAGGAAGCAGGCAGCAGTGCGATGTAGTCAGAGCGGTGTTGAGCAGAAGAAGAGGGGAGTGAAAAGGTAGAACTGCGTCTTTGTTTTTCGTCCCCTGCTTTCGAAGGCTGGGGGATGTTGCAGAACATGCAGAGTGTGTTAGAGCAGGGCTGTAGATGTGTTTTATGTGATCACTCTGGTGAAGCTGGCAGTAGAATTATAATAGAGTTAGAGCGTGGCTTGATGCAGATTTTGCTTCCTCTTAAAGATTGTGGATATTGTGAGCGTCTCAGTTCCAGTGTGGAGTAAATTTGCATAGACAAACGTGGAGTTATGTTATGAATAAGATTACAGGCATTTCTTTTTATTTCTTCATTTCTTTTAAACAAAATGCATGCTGCTGGAGTTTTAAGTATAAAGTATAAAAATGCTCTTTTTTTGGGAGGAGGGGGGTTGTTTTGGTTTTTTCTTCAACTGAGCTTCACAAAGTTTCATCATTTGATATTAAACTTGTTAGTGATTTATCCATCTGTGATGGTGGACATTGCCTGCATGTCTATGAAGCCAGGCTATTTACATGTAAAGTCAGTGTTGCGTATTTGTTCCTAATAAGGGGGTCGTGGTTCTGATTGGTGGTTTGGTACATCTGTGGAAGATACAGTGGAGTTACCAAGGAGTCAGGGCAGCTTGCCAGTCAAGCCTGAGGTGTAAAACTTACATGTGGTTTTGTCTCTGACAAACATACATCGCTGGAGTTTTTCCCAAGGATATGCTCACTAGCTCACATCTCAACACATAGTACCGTGCCCCACCACAGACTGAGGTCAACGCAGATTCCACGAAATGAAGGAATAGTATGTTCCTTGTTTTCTGTCCTTACAGTATACAGTGCGTATGTGTTTCTGCTGCTATATGATAGAATACTCATGTGAAAATATATATA